CTGCTCTCCCAGCAACACCAGTGGGGCCAGTTATGGGAAGCGGCTCCTGTGAGACAGGCTAGAGCAAATCCCACCCATCTGAAGCCAGGCTGCCCGCAGGACCATCCATTATTGCCATTAGCAGGATTCTGAGCCACCCAGTCCCTCCTGCCGGGCCCAAGGCTCCCTCTAATCTTTCCCAGCCTTGTGTGGAATAAATGCGTATGTACCCCCAGGCATGCGCGAACGTGCACCACCCAGAGAAACAAAACCTAATGGCTAGAGCAAATCCCACCCATCTGAAGCCAGGCTGCCCGCAGGACCATCCATTATTGCCATTAGCAGGATTCTGAGCCACCCAGTCCCTCCTGCCGGGCCCAAGGCTCCCTCTAATCTTTCCCAGCCTTGTGTGGAATAAATGCGTATGTACCCCCAGGCATGCGCGAACGTGCACCACCCAGAGAAACAAAACCTAATGGTGGGTGCTCTGCTAATCAGCTGGGCAGCACTGGGATGTCTCCTCAGCAGCCACAGGAGCACCCAGCTTCCAAGGAAGGCTGCCTGGCACCAGTTCCCAGAGAGGGCCCAGGGAACACTGGACCCCTCAGTGCCCAAGAGGGAGTATCTGAGCCCAGGCTGAAAGGAGATTCTGTTACACACACGCTTACTTCCAACCTGCTTTTTGGAGGCTACCACGTCAGGTCTCTGGCTTACTTCACAGAGGGGCTTGTCTCAGGCCCAGATGTAGGGAAGGTTCATTAGTAGCAGCAAAGCCAGGGTAAGAATCCTGCTCCCTTAGAGAGCCAGTACACACTCTCCACCCTCCTTCGTCCCAAATCAGAGCAGCCAGTTCTTATGCAGACATGGGAAACCTTCGGAAAACCCTCATTTCTGGCCCCACCCCAGAGGAGCCCCCAAAATCTACTAGCCCAGCCCTCCTCCTCTGTTTCTCAGACGGAATACCACGACAGTGACGGTCCCCCCCCCTTTTCACTTTTGAGCAGCCCCTGACTGATTTTTCTATGGGTCCGGGCCCCCGACCCAAAAAAGGTTCCCCGCCCCTTTTAGGCTGCAGCTAATGTGAAAACCAAGATGCAACCGGAAGGGCTGAAGGGCGGGGCGAGGACACCCTGCAGAGAAACAGCTGAGCCAGGGAGCTGGGGGGAACCACAGACACACACACACACACACAACCCTGCCCGTGCAATGCCCCCCCCACACACACCCCAAAACAAACAAACCCAGATCCGCTTCGGCCCGGTCTCTTTGCAGAGTCCCACTGGGCAGCCAGAACAGCTGATGCTGCAGCTCCAGGAGCAAAGCATCGGTCCCTGATGCTCGGTCCCCACCTACCTACCTTCCTTCCCTCGCCCCCAGCCGCCCCCCGCAGGCAAGCGACGCTGCCCAGCAGCCAGAGCCCCGGGAGCAGGAGGCTACTTCCCCCCAGCATAATTGTTACTCTGTTGCAACTCTCTGCTCACGTGCGCCTGCCCGGCTGGTCTCTCCTTAAAGGGGAAGGGGCGGTTGTTCAACATCTGCCTTCCCAAAGCGCTAGGGCCCCGATCCTGCACTCAGTGCATGCACTCGGTGCCACCCAAAACCTAGGCGTGCCTGCCAGCGGTTTC